TCGCTGCTGAATGACGAAGAAGTTTGGTAATTATTGTTGTTAGAAAACCATCGTTATCAAACTAAACTTTTGTATCTTTTCTCTCAATATATCTCTGTCGTCTTATTTTGAATGGTTGTCATTACGCGATCGAAAAGTATTGCTCTCACAGCAACAGCTGCATCTTCTCCTGCTTCTCCACCCATCAAATATAATAATACAAAAAATACGTAACCGAGCAAGATCATGCTCGACTATATATCGTTCTGTCTCTCTTTCCCTAATTAGTCTTCAGCATAGTCAATCACGATGAACTACGTTAAAGTACAACACAGTTCTTTCAATTCAAAAGTTTTTATTTAAAGTTTTTCTCTTCTAAAAGTTACCTATTCTCTCACTTGTATAGATATTTGTTGTCTAATGCTTTTTTTTTGAAAGACTATATTAGGAAATAAAATAAAATAAACTTTGTTATAAAAAAACAATTCTTTTCTGTTCCGAACATCCGGAGTATTTTCTTACGAACATCGGTCATTCACTGTGACGTACACCCGTCATTTCATGTTTCGGACATCCTGTATTTTTTCGTTCCGAACATCGGTACAGTTTTCGCTCCGAATCCCCGTCATTTCATGTTGCGGCCATCCGGTAATTTTCGTTGCGGACATCGGTACGATTTTCATCGCAAACATCCGGTCTTTTTCATTCCGATCATCCGGACTTTTTTTTCCGAATTTTCGGCGTAACTGGGATCCGGAACGAATTTCTCTGTCCGATGTCCGAAAAAAAGATCAGGACGAAAAGGGATAATCCCGTAAAAATAAAAGCATACTTTAATCATCTTCTCGACACAATTCTTTGAGTTGTAAAACGTCGCTGTTAGTAATGGTGTATACTCAGCTTGGTTCGTCGAGATAGAATGTTCATTTAATTCTTGTTGATTTAAAAGCCATTCGAGAAGATTTGCATTGTCATGACGACACGCCACATGAACTAGTTGTTCTTGATTTTCAGGCGAAGATACTTCAAGAAGACATTTTAAATGATCAAACTCCTGATGGTGTTTACGTCGAGCGATTACATCGAATACAATTATAATTTGTTCTTCGTCCTTCACGGTTTCAGTAAATATTTCCATGAGAGAATTCTTAGACTTTTGTTGCGCTTCCTTTTTGTCATTTGATGACGGACGTGTCATAGCTGGATGAGATGCCACAAAGACAAGAGGTGTCATGTTGTCAAGTGTACAAAGATTTAAAAGATCTTTGCTTTGCTTTGATGATTTTTTCTTTATATATTTCACTAGAGTAAGAAGTTCTTCTGCATTCATAGGATTTATAGAAAGGACGGAATAATGTAGTACACTTGCGTTAACTTTGGTTAATGCCTGTACAAAAAAAATTAGATCGCTATGATATAGAGGTCATACTCACGTCAACTTTTGCTCCATGATAGATCAAATATTTGATATAAGGACGTCGACCACGCATTGCAGCCAGATGCAAAGGAGTACGACCTTCGTCATCAGCATGATTGACATCGGCACCACAATCTTTAATAAGTAATTCGATCATACGCAATGGATTTTCATTTTTTGATTGCTAGCATATAGAAAAAACATATGTGCACATATATTTCATATGCTTATCAACGTTTATATATAACCTTTGAATGTCATTTTCTCTACATTTACACTGCCTACAATCGTTTTAAAAATGCTTTTATTATCTTATACTGCATTTATGCAAATTATTAGAACATGAACAAATATTTAGCTATGAAATCTCTGACAGACTCTACGAAAAAGCTTCTCACTTATTTAATTCGTAAGTAAACACTCACATTTGCCCATATGCAATTCGATTGAGCTATCACATGTAAAACATTTTCACCAATACCAGTGAGAAGGTTGACATCTATATTGATATTTTTTGAAATGACAAATACTGTTTGTTTCAGTTGGAGAAAAACATACCACATTGATATTGACCTTCTTTCGATGTTAACCAACGACATAAATCCACATTATTACAGTCAACAGCATAATGAAGAGGTGTCCATTGTTTCCTGTCATCGGGAGTACTTATCATTTTCTGCACGCTTTTCTTTGAAATTCTATCTTTTTCGACTGCTTTTTCGAATAGACTCCATTTTCCTAGAAACTTTTCTAGATCTTTCTCCGAGACGGCCTATAAACAGTTTATTAGGTAAACAAGGGCAGAATTCTTTTAGAGTTTGATAAATAATATTTTACCTCGAAGAGAAGCTCTTGAGCCGATTTTGCTTCTGATCGATCATAGTTGACCAATGGCCACTTTTTAGATTTTCTTCGAGACCTAAGCTGAGGCAGTTTTTGAACGATTAAATCGATAGTTGTGTCTGACTCTGACTCCACCGATAAGTTGTCCCAATCGCACGTATTTCGAGACATGTATCAGTCTACAGTGAAGATCAAGTTTGAAAATGTTTCGTCGTGTTTATGAGATCTAAAAATAAAATCTGTGAGAGAAGGATCGTATAGCGTTCGTGCAGATTATTTTTCGCTTTTTTTATCTCAGATGAGAAGTCTGGTTGAACCATACTCAAAACCAAAATATCAAGTTATGTGGTCTAACCGTTGGAAAATACGAGTAAAACCAAAGCTAAAGGGTTTAGAGTAGAAAAAGCCCAGATAAGTTCTTGTGCTCATTGATTTTTAGAGCTGGCTTAGAATCGTTTTACGAAGTTTTTGAGTCATTCTTAGATATTCATTAAAAAAATCAAGTAATGAAGTCTCGATCTAAAATCTTGCCTGGAGATAGCTCTAATGACTCTCAAAATATTCTAAGTGTTTCAGTCAAAAAGAATGTTTGTTTGTTTGTTGTGATACTGAATTTCCCAAAAATAGTTGTTTGTCAGTGACATATAGAAATGGAGTTTATTTGATAATTCAATATCTTGGGAGTACAGGTGCAGTTATTATTGTAGTCTAGCACCCACACCCTAAATTCTAAACTCCGCAAGGTACTTAGTGTGGTAAAGCATATGAACATTAAATTGCTTTACTCACCCTTACTATAGATACTAGTCAAAAACTCGACTTAATCGATAAGTACTCGAATTCATCTTCGTACGAGAGTGACAATAATTTTTTTCTGAAAAAGAAAATGTAACAATGACAGCAAAGAATATACTTTCCAGTATTGAGAATGTAAAAACGATCACAGACACGTTTTTTTCAGGAAGAAGCGTATAGGAATGAGAACAAGAAAAATGCGTTTGCCAATTGAGAATGCAGGAATAACGATGGACAAGTTTCTTTTCCGGGAAAGAGTTTGAGGATGAGGATGAATTAATTTTTTTTCTGGAAGGAGAATGCAGAAATGAGTGAAAAAAGATTCTTCCAACAAGGAGAATATAATTATGGTAATGGACAAGGTTTTTCCGGGAAAAAAGTGTAACAACACTAACAAAAAACAGCTTTTTCAGGAGGATTCTCACTACTTTTTGGACAATCTAAAATCGCTTACTTCTCAACAGAAAATGAAATTCCATCAATTATTTATTGCCTAAAAAATCTCCAATCTCTCATTATAGAAGAGACGAATATTACATATTTCTCAAGTGATATTAAAAACTTGAAAAACTTACAGGCTCTTAGCATAACTTCTGCACCACCGCTTTCTAGACTTACCGATGAGATAGGAGACCTTAGCTAGTTACAAGGATTATGTGTTGGTGATTGCCGTGAATTAGCCTATCTACCGCACACCCTCAATATGGGATATATCTGCTTCGTAGTCTATCTTTATTTTGGACTGGAATAAGAGAACTATCGGTGGAGGTAGCTGATCTGGACAGTTTAACTCAACTACAACTGCACGGTAACTATTATATACTATATTTGCCACGTCGGATAAAACAGTTACATTCGTTGACAGTTATATTAATTTTTGACATGTCATCAGTTTCTCTTGATGATTTGCAGGGTATTCCTAACCTGCGAAATTTGAAATGTCTGGATCTTTATGGTTGTAAATTATCATCAATACAATGGCTAGAAATTATTAAATTATCAAAAACTCTTCGCAGTCTTAATTTGGAAGGAAAAAAGTTGACAAATCTACCAGTTGAATTGGTACACATGGAACAATTAATATATTTAAATTTATACGGTAATCCATTATCAAACAAGACACGAATGAATATACAAAATATGTTTATCAACAATACGAAAATTAAAATCAGCTACGAGCCTAATACTTATTGGGAGAATGTGTGTGGCTGAGACATAAAGGCGGAAAACTATAAGGAGAATATTTTCAGAGCGGATGCAGTTAGCGAACTGGTCTTATCACCATTTGAAAGAGAGACTTTTAGAATATAAATCTTAATTATATTCAAGAGATTAGTTACCATCGAAGATTTTGTTTTCTGTAGGATAAAAGTATTTTCAAATGAATGTTCAATTCTAAGATGATCATTCGATAGGCTAAGATCCACTGTTTTAATCTAGAATCATGTCAGGAATGTCCTTTAGAAAATGTCCTGGACGAAATGTCCTATAGTTTTGGTCCTTTCAGAAAATGTTCTTTAGATATTGTCCTTTAGAAAACGTCCCCGAACTAAATGTCTTTGGACAAAATGTCTTCTAAGAATTGGTCCGGCATTGAAAAATGTCCTTTATATTTAAATAAGAGAATTTCGAATGAAGTGTTTCTAAAACATAGATGACGCTGTAATTTAACTAAAATTCATAGTGTTCTAAGTAAGTCGAATAGAGGATTTACTTTTATATACAAGGAGTGAAAGAAAAGAAAAGATGGTCATTGTACTCGTATTGATTGTATCGAGACGTATTTTATAAATAATAAAAACAAACTTTTTAAATGGAATCGAGTGATTTCGTTATGATTGACGAGACATCGTCATCTTCAAATTCATCCTCATCATCGTCTTCAACTTCACCTTCGTCTAAAGTTACAATTGGTAAAACTACGTCAAATAAACGAAAAACTATGTTAATAATTGATGGTTATCATTTTCAAATGAAAGATTATAATAAAGGTAAAACTATGAAGTTTTGGCGATGTGCCAATCGACTTTGTAATGTTATTTTGCATACAAATCTTAATGATGAATTTGTGAAATACTCAAACAATAAAAGTGACCACTCACATTTACCAAATTCAGCTGCGTTAGAAATACGAAATTTAAGAGAACAAATGCGAAAACGAGCTGAAAATGAATTATTACCTTTGCAACAAATTGCTGAACAAGAAGTGCGACATGGTTTACTCACAGGTGAAGCTCTTGCTGTTCTACCAAACATTCTTAATCTTGGTACGCCATTAAAAGTTTATATAATATAGACATTCTTAAATACTTTCTTTTAGGTCATAATTTACTAATTAATCGGCGAGCAATGATGCCTTCAATTCCACGGTCATGTTCTTTTACAATTCCGGATATATATAAAAATGATTATCTCAATAAAGATCGTCTTTTACTACACGACAGTTATGATCTACAATCTTCCATGAACGATTCATTATATGCACGACCTGAAGGAAGAATTCTCATATGGTCATCAGCTGCTCAATTAAACTTATTGTTTGATAGTGATAATCTTTACATGGATGGAACTTTTTCTACAACTCCACCCAACTTTCATCAAGTGTACATCATTCAAGCCGTTCATCATGAATCGTGTACGTTATTTCTATTTAGCTAAATATTCAATGAATATAAACTCGTATAATGAAATATTGTTCATTACAATAGGTATCCCGGTGGTATTCGCATTACTACCGGATCGAAAGGCAACAACATATATATATATGTTTGATGTCTTATTTTCCGAAGCAAAAAAAGTTAATAAAACATTCAGTCCTCTCTTAATCATGACAGATTTTGAGCCAGGGGTTTCCCGAGCAATTTCAATGATGGTATGATTTTATTTAAAATTCTAAATTCTAATTGAATGAAATTATATATTTTTTCTTATAGTTCAAGGAAGAAACAACCCAAAAGGGTTGCTTCTTCCACTTTTGTCAAGCTGTATATAGAAATGTGCAATTTAATGGCCTATCATCCACTTATTTAGAGAATCTTATGGTTCGCAATGTGATTAGGCAAATGATGGCACTTGCGCTAGTACCTGAAGAACATGTAGTATCATTGTTTGCTAGTCTCGGTAAAGAACTTGATGAAGATGAACGCGATGAATTAAGCTGTTTATTTACATACTTTGAACGTCAGTGGTTGCGAGAAACCTCGATGTGGAATGTTTTCAACATTCGTGATAAAACGAACAACTTCTCCGAAGGTACGTAAAACTACAATAACGATCGTAACATCTCATTTAACTGTCATACATTTTAGGGTATAACAATAGGTTTAAAAAAAGAATGCAGAAATCGCATCCAAACATATGGTCATTTATTGATTCGATCAAAAACGAAGTACATACCGTTCATGATTTGATCACTCAAATCAATTCTGGAATGACACCTCGTGAGAAAAAAGCTCAATCCAAAGTTGTGGAAAGAAGAATTAAAGAATTATATAGTCGATTCAATCAAGGAAAAATTACAGCCGAAGATTTATTACATCAGCTTTCTTTTTTTGTTATAAAAAAATAAATCGTAAATTAACTCGTTATAATAAAAAAATATATGATTCACATTACTTATCGAGTAGTTTTTTATTTTATAGCGAAAGGACATTTTAATAATAGAGGACATTTTTTTGTAGGACTATATGACAAAAGACTATTTCTAAAGGACTTTTTTAGAAAGGACATTATAACACAGGACATTTTCTAAAGGACCAAAACTGCAGGACATTTCGTCCAGGACATTTTCTAAAGGACATTCTTGACGGATACCAACATTCCTATTTATTACTAAAATAAGTTGATAAATAATAAAGAGTGATTCACAGTTTTAATGAATTAATTGAAAATAAGCAAAAACTGAATGCAAGTTATTTGTTATTGCATTCTTAAAAAAATCTTTGCTTTCATATTTTATTGATTTTTCTATTGCACATTTGAAAGTGAAGTGATTGCTCGAACAAATAATTTCACATACGGTAATACGATAGTGATATTTAAATCGAAGTTTATTTTTGGCAGTATACTTTAATATCACTATAATTCATGTAAATATATTTTTTCAATTAAAATATCCATCAAATGGATACAGAATCTTCTTGAAATTTCATTAAACTATGTATTTTTAGTTGGAATAACGGCAGAAAGAAAATGTAATTTCAGTTATAATAACATAATTTCCTGTATGAAAATAACGTCTCAAAAAGAAATTAATAGCACATGATACGCCCATGCTATACTGATTTTTTGAACAATAACAAATTGTCATGTCTTTCTCTAATTAGAATCTTCATATATGTTTTCAAGTATTCTTTGTTTTACTGAACAAATGATAAATTAAATTCTTATTTTTTTTTAATAGACAGTTCTTAGTAACGTATATAGGAGAGAAAATACATTTCTATTGTTATATATTAGTTTGATAAAAGAAGAAACAAACTCGGTAACATCCGTCGTTATAGCATTTAAAAAACACAATTATCTTGGTAATATATATAGTTATTTAAGAAACCTTTCCTCTATGCAAAAATAAACTTATTATCTTAGTCAGTACAGAAATTTATTAGTTACTTTTTATCGTATCAATAGAATTATATAATCATTTCGGTCTCGAAAGAAATTTAATTTCTGGATATCCATGTATGTTTATATAAGAACGAAACAGTTTTTTACCTACGAATTAAATCGATTTTCTTGATAGAATATTATCATATTTCAAATTTGAGGTTTTTAATGTAGAAATACATTCTATCATTATAGTTTGTTTCATTATTCTACATTGAAGTATTGATTATATTAATCGACTATAGATTAATATTCTTTGTCTCCCAAACATACATTCGGCAGAAAGTCATCTTTTATTTGATTCTTCTATTTAGGAATCATTTTCTAAAGAACTCTCTCATTTAAACAATTATTTTTCTTTTTTTGAGGAATTACTTAATTTGAGAAATATGCCTAATACAAGTACTACAACATTATATATTGCGACATTGCGAAATATTTCCAATCAAATAACTTTTTCAATGTCAGTTATAATTCTTGTTATGGGTTTGATTGGAAATCTACTCAATTGTTTAGTATTTGGTCAACGTTCACTTCGTTCTAAACCATGTGTGATCTATTTTCTCTTGGCTAGTATATCGAATTTAATCGTTATTATTGCCGGTGTAACACCAGGTGCGTTACAAAGTTTTTTTAAGATTCCAAATCAAACGGAAACTGTTCCAATTTTTTGTAAACTACGTTTAATTGTACTGTTTATAATGCGTACTATTTCCTCTTGGTTACTTACCCTTGCTACAGTCGATCGTTCGTTGATTTCAAATACCAATGTTCATCGACGTCGACTTAGTAATTTGAAGAATACCTATATCTGCATTTTAATTGTTAGTATTAGTTCCAGTTTAATTTGGGCTCAAGTTGGGTATTGTTTTGATGCAAATTTAATTGGAACACCACAAAAATGTTATGCTAAATCAGATGTATGCCGTATTTTTAATGATCTTGCTCAATCGTTGATTACTACAATCATACCAGCTTTAGTTATGTTAGTATTTGGTCTATTAACTATTCGAAATATTCGCCATACTCAACAAATAAAACCTTCGACTGATCCAATGAGCACCACTGTTAGTCGAAACAACCGTAAAGATGAAAGAAGTTTAACAATTATGCTATTAGCACAAGTAATTCTCCTCACTATATTTACTTTACCACAAGCTAGTCAAAAATTTTATTTAACTTATTCATTTTATCATACCAAGAATTCATCACAAAGAGCTTTAGAAAGTCTTATTTTCAATTTTGTTCTTCTTCTAACATATATTCCTAGTTGCATTCCATTCTATTTATATACAATTACTGGTGTTATATTTCGTCAAACACTTTTCAACGTATTAAAAAAAGGATTTGATTTGATCAATTGTTTTCATTAAAAACTATAATAATATATAACATTCATTTTTATCTCTAATCATGTAATCTTAAATTTGAAATAAAATCTTATTTTATTCTAACAGATTTTCAAAATGTGTGACATTCAATACAAATAATCGTTTATTTTATACTGATTTCATAGATATCGTTTGTTTTGTTTCCCTATCGAACTGAAAAATATATCGAATATATGAGTCATTTTTGTTTTGGAAAACGTTTCTTGATGTTCATTTTCATGAACACCTACCTTCTAAAAAAAAAGTAAATTTAATGGCTGCCTCATAATATTCTACCGACTGTTTATCGTTCTCTTTTTTTTTGTATCGTCACATTATGAATCATTCCTGTGATCAATAGAATCATGGCTAAAATTACTTTTTTGTTCTTTTGCATTTTCACAAGTAGTATATGTGGGATATGAGAATAAAATTTCTAGTTTTTTCTTCCATATTCTTGTCTTTTTAGTCCTTTGTGTATATAAGCGGTGTGGATGGTTGTTGCTATTCTACTTCGTCCACACATCATCGTCACACTCACCCTCAAGTTTCACAAAAGACTAAAATATTTTATTTGCCGATCATACAGTTGTTTCATTATTTAAAAACTTTGTAAAATCATCATAAATATAAGATTTTTTCGAATACTAGGATGCGAGAGTATATAAGAAATTGATAGATTAATAATACCTACACCCATAATTCTCGAGCTCCATAGATTCGATAGATGTGGATATGATTAGTGAGAACACCAAAAACCGTACTAATGTATTCCAGACCTAAGATATAATTTATTCTTTTAACAAATTCAATATTTAAAGCTTGACAATACAATATCAAACAAACAAATGAGTTGATCTTGGCAAATAAATTAATTTATTAAAAATCAGTTAACTCCAATATTAAATTTTTGTACTCTATGATTAGCAGAATCGCTGACATAGAGATTACCTTGTTGATCAAATGTTATACCCACAGGTTCATGTAACTGATTTAATTGTTGCCCATTTCCATTTCCACCAACAACAATACTGCCTGGTTTTTGATTTTTTAACCAACGCATTATTCGATGATTTCCTGAATCAGCTATATAAAGATTGCCCATACGATCAAGAATCACTTTTCGAGGATGAAGAAAATTCACAAGATAACTCCCTTGACCTTGTATACCGGCAACCGTCGTTCCTGCGATTGCAGTTTTCAACCATTTAGTTATACGACTATTATTAGAATCCGATACATAAAGTGAATAATCTTCATCAATGAAGATATAAGTAGGAAAATTTAGTTGGCTGGGACGCGTTCCTATTCCATTTCCACCTGCTACAATTGTTCCCTCCATTTCTCCTTTTCTCCATTGTTTTATCTCATGCTTCTCACAGTCAGAGACATACAGACTTTCATTGTTATCCATTGCCAGACCATAGCAATGAATATTTGAGATGATTATTTGTTGATATGCTGGATTTCGAAGAGATACTCGAACTACACGCCTATTTCCTTGTTCACAAATGATGAGAGAATTATTCTTTCGATCAAAAAGTACATCAACTGGAAAATTTAATTCATTCTTTGGATTTCCACCAACGACAACTTGTCCGCTCTTCGCACCATATTCCCACTTAACAACACGATCGTTCCCACTGTCAGCAATATAAATCGTTTGAGTCTTATCATTAATAGTGATACCAAGAGGCGATGACAAACGATTTAATTGACTTCCTCGTCCATTTCCTCCAGCAACAGTTGATCCGTTTTGTATCCATACAGTATCATTAGTAATATTCATAGAAAATTGTAATTGCTCTATAAAACATTACAAGTTTAGTTATGCTGAAACTATGGTAAGGAGAAACAGAAACTTGCTCTCATACATTCATATATCCATCGGTAGGTTATGAACTATTCAGAAGAGAAAAACAACAGCAACTTGAGTTGTGACGAGAAATAAATTAATGAGGAAACTTTGAGCTTTTAGTACATTTTGTTTTACTATCATACATTCATATAAGATCAAAATCATTGTGCTTTCAATATCTCAGAAAAAAGATCATGAAATAGTAAATAACTTCACGTGGTTCTCTTGTAAACTATGTCATCGTTCAATAATGCATGAGCTGACTTTCTTCAGTAAAGATGGGAATTTTAATATGATGAATTATTTAAATAGAATAATTTAGATATCAATATGCGAGAAAACTATACCTCCTATTATTGTATCGTCTTCTGTTGTCATTGTAAGTTCTATTGTTGATTCTTCTGTATCTGTCATTATCGTCGTCGATTCCGTGATGTTGCTCTTTTTCCTCGTTGCGATAATTGTTGGAATAATTATGATTAAGGCAACAACAATAATGAGGAAAATGATCCATATTACTTTTCTTTTTCTATAACACTCACATCTAAATAGAAGAAAAAAAGTCGTTAGTATCATTTACTAATGGAGGCACCCGATTTTTATAAGAAAACTTTACATGCTGGAAAAAGATACAAAATTTAGATAGGGGTGTGCTTGAAAGTTTTGCATTTATCACCACAACACGTCCCGCTGTTCAAACCAGAGATGGACAACTCCAGCTCTATTCCTATTTTGAGAGCCCAACTCCACAGTTGAAGTTGCCCATCTCTAGTGCATACACTCACATCTAGCCTCAACCTTTCTTTGGGCCACTGGGTATTCCGTGAAAGGTTTAGTAACGCTAGCTATTACATGGACTAAATTCATAAAGAACAGACAAACAAATATTCCTCTTTAGATATATACATTACATTTTATGATACACATTCAATGTTCTTGATTGTTTCGTTGATGTTGGAGCTGCATCAGCATTGATTGTTTCAGACTGAAATAGTTAAAAAGAAAAGATTATTTTGTATATTTTTTTCTTAATATATTACATGATCAATTCCAATTTTGTTTTGTCTCATAGTCAATGTTTTATCGAAGTGTGGTATATCTAAAATCATGTAAATAAAATAAATATAAAACTACAAGCAAAAAATCTAGTATAATTTCTAACATAGTCTAATCAATTTTGATTATACTTAAAAGCAAACGTTTCAGATAGTTTAAGATAATTTCTTCTTTTTTTCATATAATCATTCTGTGTTTCTATAAAATATATCTTTTTTTTTACATCTACGTCATTCATATTTAACATAGATATGAATAATATATAAACTAACATCTGCCTTTTATTAACTTCAATAAATATTTCTTAATAACTAACTATAATAAAATAAAAAGAGACGTTAGAAAAAAAAATTAGATTATTAACTCTTTTTTACATTGTCTTACACGAAATAAATAAAACAATACTTTGTATCAATCAAATTATAAGTTAATTAATTATAAATTTGTTAGACTGGCGATACTGAACGTCTACGGTTAATTCATTCGCTAATGATCTTCGAAGTAGCAAATGAAAAAGGTACGAGAAGAGAAATTACTGATTAATGAAATTAGGAGACAATATGTCTAAAAACGGACCTTTGTTATTTTGACGGCTTCTACTTCACATACACGATTCTTTCAATGAAAAACATTCACAAAAAAGCTAACGTATGAATATAAAATAATGAGCTGACTTCCTTTTTTAGGATTATTTAGGAATAAAACGATAGCAGATGTCAACTAAAAGGCTTCCATACAAAATACCAAAGTAAAAATTTGATATAGTTTTTTGTAGAAAAAAAAGAGTTGCATCATAATATTTTGTTATATCTCATTAGTTCAGATAGGTAGAGGGTTATGAATGATGTCCTTCGTCAGAAATATATCATATGTGGGTGTGGGTGTAGGTGTCGGTATGAGTTTATTGATTTTTGATGATTTTTATTCTAGAGAATGCTATTTCTCAATAGTAGGCATCCATAGAGTGTGGGTGCGGATTTCGTATTTATCTCACCCACACCCATCCTACTCTTTCAGTTCGAGCTAATCAATCGAATCCACTGATTCCTAGCCATTTATTCGTCCCAACTCAAAAATAGGTTGACTTCTTATGATTTTATCTTTTGAACTATTTGCTACAACGCAGATTTCGTGTTTATTTATATTTTATTAGTTATTTATTAATATAAGAATTGAAAATAAATAGCAGTTAATATTGTAATTAGAAATACAGCCAGCCATTTTCTTTGTCTTGCTTTTGCTTTCCTCGATTGTGGAACTATTGTGATCTGAGCATTGGAAGCTTTAAGGTTGATGAAGTTCAATGTAGCTTCTAAGCCTTCATGATCTGAAACCATTAATATAGGATTGTTTTGATTCTTTTCATCAGCAGAAACTACAGATGAGCTTGTTGTAGAAAAATGTTGATTAGTTAGAATATAATCCAAACGAACTAATCGGGCATAGGTCGCTGCAGCATTGGGAGTGGAATCTTTTAATCTATTAATCGATAGAGATTCTAGCATATCATTGTATTCTTTAGTACCATATTGTATATTTAAATCTCCACATAATATAACCTTATGACCAGCATGATAGGTAGTGATATGATCATTAATTTGTTGAAGTTGTCTTGTACGCACTCGACGTGTAGGTTTTGCATCCAAATGAGTATTAATAATAATTAGATCTTTATTTGTTTTTGTAATTTTACAACACATATAACCTTTATTAGTCGCCAATTCAGCTAAACTGTAACCATTGAATGGTTCTTGATGACAAGGTTCTATTTTATGAGCAGATAAAATTAAGCAACCACTATCTTGCACACCAAACCATGGTGTATTAGCTGTATAGCTATATGGATATTTGGATTTGACTGTTTCTATTAAGTTGGTTCGCTGTCGAGAACCATAATTCAATAATAAAAATGGATTGCATACAAATACTTCCTGTAAACATATAATATCGTAGAGCTGCGTAGCATCATCCATTAACCAAGTAGCAAATGTATTTAATCTTTGAGCTGAATGTTGTCCACCTACGAATCTATGACACCATAAATTATATGTTAATACTCGAAAACTATTCTTATTCATATTGTCAACTGATACATTTACTATCGGCTCGACTGAATTTGCAGCATATATGTCAGATCTAAAAGTTCAATTCAATTGTTAAAATATATATTTTTAAGTTATTTGGAGGATGTGAATGTTTGAAGGTGAATGAAATAGAATATTCACATCAATATCATCAAGTAAACTTAATTCTGGAGCGAATTTCACGAGAAATTTAAATACAAGGGCTACATACATTCGTTACACGCGTCCTATATTCACACGCAAAGATAGTCGTAATGATTACCTCTAGTCAAAGTATGTAAAGAGAAAAGAGAAATAAAGTGGCTTGTTATTTTTTTCTTTTCCTTTCTCTTTTTTTTTATGTGACGCATAACAGAACTGACTAATATTTCAGATAAATACAAAAGCATATACTGGAGTGTGATAGAAAAGCTTGCACAACGTTCGTATGGTTTATGTAACACTTAAAAATGAGTAATAGAGCCAGTTTGATTTCAGTCTTGTCACGGCCTTCAGTCATGATACATCATTCTCTTTCTTCTATTTCCTTGAGTCATACATACATTCTGAGTCATATACATATGATCGAGATTCTTAAGTCATAATTATATTTTATATTCTAGCGCATAAAATAAAAAAAACAAAATTAAACATAGATAAATACATCTACTGAACAATTTTTTTTAAACGTATATTTTTCATCTCACCTAATAGCTTTCAATGTATTCTGATTCAATAATATATACTTGTGCATATCAGCACATTTCAAAATAGCATTGAAATGTATTTTTAATTCAGCTGATACTAATTCTGTTGTCATTTACTAAATGTTTCATGTGTGAAAAAACAGATTCAATATAAGCATTACTGCAAAGTAATAACATCCAGAGTTGATCGAATAAAATATTGAGAATTTTCATTGAAAATGCAAAAGACAAAAAAATCCAAAAAGCGGAAGAAGTGGCAGCACTAATGTAGACAAATAAATAAATCATCTTAAGAGTGTATGTGTGGGTGGCTGCTTTTTCAATTCACGTCATTCACCTACATCAACACCCTGACGATGCGAAGTTCACATCGAATTAAAAATATTTGCTATTTTTATATATATTTCATAAGAAATTAAAGAAATTAAAATGACTTGAAGAATATTTTGATATATACAACTGCACATGACCTACATTAATCTGAAAGTCCAAATATAGAAAATTTTTTATTTCACTCGAACTTTTCGTTTGATGGCGTATTACGTCATGTTACAATCATGAGAATCAATCAAACGATTTTATTAAGTTTTTAATTAGTTATTTATATTCACCTCACATCATTGTACTTCAATAATATCAGTTTGTCAAAAAGTGTATTATTATCATTATTTGTTCTTTCAGTCCTTAAATGTTGTTTCTAAGCAGCCATCTCTCTCAAAAAAATTACTCAATATTTAATTCTTTTCTTTTTCTTTTCTCTATATATGAATAGGAGATGAAAGGCGATTATAAGTATTATATTTTTAGAATACATGTATTAAATCGTTCAATATATTTCAAATTAAACGAAATTTTTTTAACGAAAGATAGATATAGTATTAACAATTGATGCTTATCCTCTATGAAAAAATATATCGTTTGTAATGCAAAAAGTTTCTTCTATCGAATCTTTTATATGTACAAAACCAATATTGACAACCTTGCATAAAAGTGCATTGCTGACGTCAAAAGTAGATGTACGTCATACTGTTCTTTTTATTCAGTCGTGATTATGACTTACATTTCTGTTGAATAAACAAGAATGAAAAAAGAAAGAATTTACATAAATATCTGTTTCTCATTTACTAAGTTGCTTTTTTGTGGTATGTACACTATTATGTCCAAAGTTGTATTTTATTACATATGAAGAAAAATCTAACAATAAAATTTAAAATCGTTTTCTATTCTTTTAGAAATTCGTTTGAACATTATTTTATTGAATAACGAATCAATGATTGTTACTCCTGTACATACAAATTCAATTAAAATATCATTAGTTCAAAGTATATAGAACATATTTTTTTTAAATTTCTTATTAATGATTATCTTGATATATTTTTATTTTAATCAAAAAAAAAATAGCTGGATGCTGTAAAAGTGAATTTGATTCAACATATCCTCAACGTCTACATGGAATAATTTCATTCGAAGAATTTCGAGAATCAATTCAAAATATTAATCAACAAATCTCTTCTAGGAAACCCAGGCTGTTTGTTATGTTGATTTGTATTTTACTTGTAATTGCAAGTATTGTATTATTCGTTGTCGGTGGAATATTAGCTAAAAATTCTGGTACAGGTGGATTTCCTATATTAATTATCATTGCAATGGTAGTTTTTATTGTTGCATTCCTGTTTCTTTCTATTGGATTTGTGGTTATAAGAAGACTACGTGCGACTAAAATGTGACGAGCAATTGCGAATGAATCAATAAAATATTCTAGACGATCACCAAAACCATGTAGTTGGCGATTGAATGCTTTTAGATATGTTACTGGACGATATCGAGGTCACCGACGTGTTGTAGTCATTTACAGTGTAAGTATTTTTTGGTTCATAGTAGAAATATTTGATAAAATTATTTGTAGTTAATGATTGATATTGGAAATTCTGTTGTTCCAACAAATCAAAATATACCGTCACAATACAATCAAGTAGCTCCTCGACCAGTATCAACGTTTAATCAACAGAACGGTATTCCTCCACCATACTCTGGTCAACCAGTTGGAAGATTTTGTTCACAGTGTGGGACACCACGACAAAATCTTACAGCAAAATTTTGTCCATCATGTGGTCAGGCATTTTAAATATAAGAATGTCTCATCGAAAGAGAACCCAATCTTTAACTAATATATTATTGTATTTAGGAAAGATGATAACTGATATCTGGTAAAATTTTCCTCACAAATCAGCTATGAAAAACAAAGCCAATGTTCTGTTTTTATTTATCAATTATTTTTAATGTTGTGTTTGTTGCAGATATTTCAATAAAAATATTTCTCGTTTTCATGATCATTAATTTGCAGTAGTATATTCAAAAGTTTTTCTGTCGTTTTAACGATTTTGTATTCAGCCATTGAACATGTCAGTAGATTATTTTCCACGACATTGTTGAGGAAACACACTGATTCTATCGATTACTTTCAAAACCACTGAATTAAGAAGATAGCGTATGGAATGTGACGAACTTTGATGTGCGCATTAAGAATCATGTTTAAGATGAGTGAATGTAGATTTATTATTATTATTATTCACCTACCTTCAAGATGAATCTCACAGTTAGTTAATTTATTTTACTACAGAATGTTTATAATGAATGTCTGTAAAATGAAAATACTTCAATCGACCGTTTTTTCGTGAAGTCCTTCCGACGAATCTTCGAGTTTCAGTTCGAATTTGTCTGAACCACGATAACGACCGGTTTCAACGGACCATTTGCCTTCAAATTGAGCGTGACTTGAATTCCATGTTAATTGTAGAGTTACTGTATGTCCAAAATTTTCTTGAGAATCACCAGTGCCTGATTCATAGACTTTGGTTATTACAATTCGTTGAGTTTCCATGGAAAATGTTCCGTCAATGGTAAACTTTCCGACATCATCATATCCATGACCAAATACTCGATCTGATTTACGATCAAATGACAATATTATTTTATGCGGTTCATGCCATCGACCATACTGATAATATCGACCTCTCCAGATTCCATTCTTGAAACAATTTTCTTCATAAGTTTGATAAGTTCGATTTTGTTCATTTGTAGAGTTTTGACTGACAAAAGCGAGATTCGATTGTGAGGGTCGACTTCGATATTTACGATAACAGTAAATAATCAAAAAGATAATTGCGATTAGAGCAAGTACACTACCTATTACACTGCCTGCAATGATTCCTGTACGTTGACAACTTGCACCTTGGCATCTACTTTCATTACGAATACTACCTAAAATTAATATTAGTCAATACGAAATTCAGTTTTCAAATGATATAATTACTTCGATAGCGACTACTACTACTACTACCACTACGAGTTCCACCACCGCCACGAGCACCCTGGGCATGAACAACGATGCCGAGCAAAGCAATAATCAGAAGAAGATGAAATACAATGTGCATAGCGATTAGTATTTCCAGACAATTTTCGATCGTATACTTTATTATATTGTCAATCTCAGTGAATATGTTTACGAAAGAATGTTGATTTGATAGAAATGAATAAAAATTGTTCGTATAATAAGGTGCCAACAGCGCTTATATATATATTAGAAAGAAAAAAGCACGACCATGAATGTTAATATTATTTTTCTTTTCGTTCTTTCTGATTTTGTCGGATAAATATATGTGTGCATATTACTAATTTTTCATTTTTTGGCAAGAATAATGAAGCACGATATACATATCGTTTTTTTGTCTTCTGTTAAAGCACGAAATGAATATTATATTAACATAGCCCAATCAAGTTTAAAATGCTGAATTACACGCGTACACGCTCTATATTGAGGGCGGGCGGGTGTAGGTATTATTCTTATCTCATACACGACGATGAATATTATTTAAAATATTCATAATATTTGCATAAGAAGTGTATGTCTCTACCACAACCGTACAATTAAAATTTCCTAAGTTTTGTATTATTATTGATATTATAATTAAGTATGAAAATAAAGGGTGTGGGTGCGGGTGTGAAATAAGAATAACATCCACCCTCGGGATTGACCTTACATTCAAAATATATTAGTTAACTAAGTTCGAATTGAGACTAAACTCGATAGTCAGTCAGATTCGAGTTTAGAAATTCGTAATTCCAACGGTGCTTTATGTCACATCCCTCATCTACACATTTTATTATCAGATAGTAAATTAGTAACGGTGTGTTTCAGAAATAAGCTCATGATTATTTTCTTCGAGATGAAAAAAATCTTTCTTTTGGTTTTTTATTATAGATACCTAATGCATATAAGCAAAAAGGAGTGTTCGTTGTTATCTTTCATATGAGTCGATGATGGTATGATTATTATATCTCTAAATGAAAAAGAACAAAGAAAAAAATCTTCTTTTTTTGTTATAATAAGGAATGAAATATATTCTATAACATTCAAACCAAGTCTAAGCTTATCTTTCTATTTTTCACTTCTTAATGCAATCTCTTGATAAAATTATTATTAGTACCTTTATAATATTTTTTATTTTTGCTTTTACATTTGATTATATTAATTCTGTTGCTCCAGCAAATGAACGAATTACCAATGAAAAAACATCCAAATGGATTTGGCCACCACAATTTATTTTGAAACTATATTATTGGTGGTGTGAAAATGTTGATCCAATGTTACTTACTAATGATTATTTAGTAAAATATCTATGTTTTCTTTCACCATTTCTATTTGCACCATTTTATTTAATTGGAATCTATGCGATTTCTAATAAAAAACAATGGATTCGTATTCCAATAATTATATATTCATTAATATTTTTTTTTGATTTAAATTATTTTTTTTATCAAGCTATATTTGGTGAAGAAAAAACACGAAATTTATTATTATTTACATTAGTATATGGTTATTATCAAATATTTCCAATCATTTTAATTTATCGATTTTTACCAAAGAATGTTCTCAAAAATGCATCTCATCGAATTAAGAGCAATTAGAATATAACGAACATTTTCTTAATTGATTATAAATACACGAATTTTATATAAAAAAATTATTAATTAATAAATACGTTGAATAAATTTAGATGATATTGGGTGTGGATGTGAATGAAAATATACAACATTCACACCCACTGATAAGGGCATCTATATCACCTTTTGTATTACTCTCAATGCTCGTCGACATTAGCAAAGAACTAATGAATTTTTCTGATGCGTATAGAAAATAGATTACAGGATTCAAATTGTATTGAATAACTATGTCGATAAATAAAACAAATATATTTAGTCATGAAAATATATATGAAAACAACATTGAATCTAGGACAAAAAAATAGAAAAACTAGTATTTCAGAATGTATGTGGGTGATCACAATACTTGTTTGTTTGTTTGTTTGTTTTCAAAATTGAATCGATTAATCAATTGTTTGGCCTTACTGCATGTGAATTAGGAGTAGTGATCGGATGTTCGTAGCTTCGCCAAGTGAAGAGACGCATGAGTTCTTGACGAAACAATTTACTCGATAATGTAAAAAGATAGAAAGTTGTACAAGCGCCAGTGGTAGACAAGAGGCCGGCGATGTTTACGAACAAATTCACTTGGGCAAGCTGCACATCATTGAATAATGTATTTGTGGTTAGTGAAAGATAGATATAGCCAACGGAATTAGGAATTGTCAGTACCGCAAAGTAGACAGACTGTGCTACCATCATTCGAATCAGCTGTCGATCAATTGTCTTTTGACGTTGTAGCTGCTCTTGTATCGATGTTGTCAATCCAGTACCAGTTTGAGTTTTATTATTTGATGCAGTGACTCTTCTCACTGATTGTTGAACATGTCGAATGGTGAGCGACCCAAAAATAAGCATGATAATCGATGGACCTAAGTTAAATATCAGGAAATTCCAGATACCATTAAAAAGTGGGTTTGCACTTGGACCTGCGTAGCATTTCCTAATCGTTGATGTGTTTTCATATTGAACCAGTACATGGGTATAAAGAATACCAATAGCTATCACCATGAGTGGAGTAGATCGAGAAGCAACACGAAGACTACTCCACGCTCGCAACATAGTAGAAGGCGAACTGCAGAGAAATCTATTGAAAAGAAAGGCATCTTCTTTAAAATTGAATGACGAGTGTTATTAATAGGGTCTACTTTTAACTACAGTCATTCTGTCTATCCAAAATTTAACAAACAATATTTGAATTTTATGTTGCAGAAAATTTTGAAGATCCATCGATTCTATCCTCAATAGACATGACTAATAACCCGCGCAGATTTAAACTCTACTTACCGGTCGATAGAAGCGAGAGCAATAAACCATGATGCCAGAGCTCTAAAAATACAGAGGAAGAACAAGATTTGCTAGATAGTCTAAAATTAGAGGTAATACCGTGAACAAAACAAAATCCATGAAAGAATTTTGCATGATGCATTTGAGTATTTAAAAACGTCATAATTGAATACATATTGAAGAAGTCGCAGTGGCAAATTTATATAGCTAACAAATAAACCAGTCACGGTTGCAGCCAAAAAGTAACATGCACATGGATTTGAACGAAGTATCGGACGTGTAAACACATAAATGCTTAACAAATGACCAACTGTACCAAGAGCAATTGATGCAAAAGTCCAAAACAAGAAAAACACTTCATTGGCATAATTAAGAGCATTAATTTCAGCTATAGTAGCATTTGATAATGACATATTCTTGCTAGATAATAATTCTAAATAATCAAAAAAGAAATAGATGTTGAAATGAGTGTGTTTTATGTTGTTTGATGCTTCTTTTTTTTAAATCTAACATTGTCACGCATATGAATGTTCAAGAGAAATTATGGATTCATTAATTTTTTGTCAAAGCAATTCGTCGTTGCTTCGATGATTTCCTCGCATGATTTTCTCACATACTGCATGATAAAACAAAAGCTGTCAAAACTGATTTACTTCTTCACTACAATATTGTCACAAATGAAGAAAAGCAGCGCTTTGCATAATCACAGGGAATTTCAACTATCAGTACGAGTGCTATTCTATTTTTCTCTATCTTCATAATGAAGAATAAAGAACACAGTTATCATCTCTTCCACTCTCTCTCTTTTTTTCTGCTTTTTTAAATAGTTTGAACTACGAGTGTTGATTCTAATGAACCATTACTTCAAAAATATTAGAGAAAATCTTGACAATACTCAGACATGGATGGATGTGACTTTAGCGATGATAAATCCACTTTGAATTTATTATTACAGAAAACATCACAACTCTTTGTAAAACTAACTAAGATTAATATTTTTTTATATTTCAGTTTTTAAATAATGCATAATCATTCATTAAGAATACCATATTGAGTGTGTGGATTTATATATAGACTTCACATCTTTCAAGTCATACCCACACTCACGATGTACTTTGTGTATTGATTCATATTTTTGAAAGAATTTTTATACGATTAAATTTTTGCCCATCGTTATTGGAAAAGCTTTCTTTTTCTTCCTTATAAATATCTATGCATTTATGAAAATTATTTTGCAAAATGTTTGCTGTATAATTTTTTAAAAATTTAACAGTGAAGGATTGATATGGAGTTATAGATATATCGTAATATTTCATAGCGGATATGACAACAACATTTTTAGGGTATATGTTCTGCACAATTCGAGTTTGAAAGTCATTTTTTACACTCAAATATTTAACTGTCTAATATTATTGTCTTCAATTACTATTTTGTAATGTGAATCTCTTGAAAATACAATCGAAACCACTTGTCGTCACCTTTATAAGTATCGCAATTTGTTTTAGGATTTAGTTTTATGCAAGTATCAAATTTCTCTTATGTGAATAGTTAAAATTGTCAACACAACTTATTTTTCTATAATATTTTCATCTTCCAACTTATTGTGACTTTAAATTACTTTTATAATACTATATTTGATTTAAATTTTTCTTTTCGATCTCAGAATTTTCTTAGATTTAGATTAAACGTGCTCATTTAAACTAAAGAAATCGATACAAATGATGTGATATTACTTATCTTTTAATAAACTTATGATTTGCATCGTTATTATTGTGCTGATTATTGTTGTATTTGTTTCTACTCAAGGCAAATGAAAATAAAGTAACTCAATATTTTAATAAATAAATAAATACAAATCTGGTGTATTAGTCCGAAATGATAATATTATTAGAATGACTTATACATTATTTAAAAGTATCTGATTACCTGAATTCAGTGCATTATTTATCCAATCAAGAAGTTTAATATCTACAAATATTTTCTTTTTTTATCGCTTCTGTGATGTTGTATATAAAAAGTGCAAGACAAGTAATAAAACAGAGTATATATCAAATTGACATTAACATTTTGAAAAAACTTACTTCTCTCGCGATTTGATGGCATCCATCAAATTGTTGATTTCTTATTTCCTCTTATGCAGCGTTAGTTTTGTCTCAGGAATTATTTATAATTGTAATCGAACTGCTGACTGTGGATGTTCAAGATCCAATGCCAATGTATATAAAATAGTAGGTGGTGAAGACTCTTATCCATTAAGTTGGGGTTGGGCTGTGTCATTGCAATTTAACTTTATATCTGGCAGACACTTCTGTACTGGATCAATTTTATCTCCATTGCACATCATTACTGCTGCTCATTGCATTGGTGATGATGTGGCGACGTTCATAGAAATAACGAATGTAGTTGTTGGAGTAGACCGATTGTCAGAGTCAGAAGACCCACATGCTCACGTGCGATCGATAATCAAAGTGTTCTCTCATCCAGGTTATGATAATATAACAACCATTCATGATATCGCTGTACTTCTATTAAATGAATCGCTGCCTATTTCTAATGAAATGAACACTGCTCGAATATGCATACCTCGTTTAGAAACATTAGATAGAAATGTTACTTATCCTGTTAATTCAGCATCGCTCATAGCCATTGGATGGGGTCGTCTGAAATCCGACGCTACAGAGATACCATTCGATCAACATCTTCAACAAGTGACAGTAGCAGCGGTGTCAGTTGATGATCCACGATGTGAAGAGTTTATTAGTGATACACGCTTCCAGTTTTGTGCTAGCGTGGTAGGTGGTGGAAAAGGTAAGAAAGTGCTTATTTTTAATATTATATAAATGTTTTCTATTCACAATTTAGATACATGTCAAGGTGATTCAGGTGGTCCACTCATGCGATTTGAACCTGCACAAAAACGATGGGTATTAGCTGGTATCACAAGTTTTGGTTTAGGTTGTGCTGATCCTCGCTATTCTGGTGTATACACACGTGTTTCAGCTTATCGCGACTGGCTTCGCTCAGTTGTCAGTGATGGATTTATTGAATCATCAATTAATCTTGACTCTTCTGCTACTAAAAAGTACTATAATACATACATTGTATTTTTGTCGGTTGTACTGTTCTATTTTTTTTCGCTTTGGATTCAATAAACTAATAAGACTTTGCTGATATCTCTTTTGGTGCATGAATTTCAACTACATAAATATGCAACTCTGTTTGAAATTCTTTCAATTAGTCGATTCGAAAAATTCAAAATCTCGTTGAAAAGTATATCCATTCTGAAGTGCTTCGTGATATGAAGTTTTATTGAGGTTCAGAAAAATTCACCGCTAATCTGATTTTGACTCGGCTGAGACTCTCATTAGGTAAAAATAGCCACTAAAATAATTTATTTGTTTTGATGTTACTATTATCTTATGAGTACAATGATCATAGTACTTATAAATGATTTACATTTTGACTTGTGTGGGTGTGGGTGTGGGTGGGTGTCGGTATTATATCCATCACACACCCACACCCTCAAGATTTTAAGTTGTAAAATGTTGAAATATGTATAATTTTGAGTTTTTCTGTCTACGAACAAAATCGATGCATAAATGAAATTGAACTGAATCAAGCTATTATTTATCTTAAACATCTTTTGATTGATTCATGAAAAAGGGCTAAATATGTATGATTTTTTCAACTTACAATATTTTTATACCAATGGTATCATTTTATCAAGTTCTAACAATGAAAAATATACCTTTAGTTTATAGAGACAGCTTACTATCTCAAGTCAGCATCAATATATATGTATAATCACTTATAATGTTGCATTTCTTTTAATTTTTATTATTTGTATTGCATCATTTTAATTCATGGTTACTTTTCTTTTTTGCCACGTCTCTATCGACTCCGCCGACCTCTTTTTCTCTTCAACGTTACGTGCTCTTATTATTTTCTTTCAACTATTTAACAGAACGCAAGAAAGAAATGCCTTATTTTTCATGGGAACAACAAAGTGCGTATGAGTTGTGCAATAACTATGTGATGCAATGCTTTGCACTTACAAGTATGTATATATAGTTAGATTTTTTTTTCTACAATTATATATATTTATAAAATATGACTGCAATCGTTGAGAATAATTTTTCAACATTAAATTCTCTTAAAAATATGGAAATATCTAATAAAACATGTGACACGATAACAAATGAAGATATACAAGCAATTGAATCAATTTATTCATATTGGTTTGGTGAAAATATTAATACATGGTCGAAAAGTTATCCAGTAAGTACACAATTATGGTCTAAAGTTAATGAACAAACAGATCAAGAAATTCGAGATAAATTTGAAAAATATTTAATCGATGCAACAACATCAAATAATAATCTTTATCAACGTTGGAAAACAACTAATCAAGGTCAATTAGCATTAATTATTTTATTTGATCAATGTCCTCGTAATATATATCGTAATACAAAAAAAATGTTTGAATTTGATCCATTAGCTCTTAAATTATCACTTGAAATTATTAATGATTCAACATATATAACAACATATAGTTTACCTGAACGATTGTTTATCTATTTTCCTCTTGTTCATTCGGAAGAACTTTCCTATACAACAAAAGGTGCAAATTTAATGAATGATCTCGTAACACAAATAACTCAACGTGATTTACGTAAAAGATATAATAAAAATGCTCAAATGGCAAAACTTTATCAAGAAATCATTGAATTATTTGGTCGTTATCCAAATCGAAATCATTTTCTTGAACGTCAATCAACTATAGAAGAAGAAAAATACTTAAAAACAGCACGTAATGGTTTTATAAAACCCATTAAAACTATCAAATCTACTATTGAAAATGAATTGCCATCTCTTCCAACTCAATCAACATCTCCTCTTTTAAAAATACTTGTTCTTCATGGTTTTCGTCAAAATGCGAATAGTTTAAAACGTAGTGCAAAGAAACTCTTCAAAGGATTAAAAAACGTTGCAACATTTTATTTTGCTAATGGTCCATTACCATGTAATACAACAGGTGACACGAAAGAATCATTATCAAATGCTTTTGATAATGAAAATATGCCTGAAACAAGTTATCAACGACAATGGTGGAATGCATCAACAGATTATAAAACTTATCATCATTTAGATGTTTCATTACATTATATTGATAAATTATTTAAATCGGAAGGTCCATTCGATGGAATCATAGGTTTTTCAGTATGTCATAGAATTTGTTTTTTTTTGATAATTTAATTCTCATTTTTTTTATTTAGCAAGGAGCTGCATTAACTGGAATTTTATGTGGTTTACAACCATTTGGAAATATTACGTTTAATTTTGCTATTTTAATTTCGGGATTTCCTTCTCGAGCAGAATGTCATGAACAATTAATGCAACCGAATTCAATTAAAAATATACCATCTTTACATATTTATGGAACTAATGATGTTTTAGTTACTAATGATCGAACATTACAATTAGCCGATGTATTTGAAAATTCTTTAGTTTTATCACATCTTGGTGGACATTTTACACCAAATACATGGCCAAGTACTGATATCATACAATTCTTACTTGAACAACAAAAATGTTTATCAAATAAATTGAATATTTCACAAAATCCTGATACATTACAATTTCAATCCTTAAAAACATTTGAAGAAAAACTCAAAGCAACAATTTTCTTTCATCAAAAACAAATCTCAAATATTCCAGCTACTGAACGAAAAAATACAAAAATATCCATTATTCCAATTGGTTTATCTAAATCATTTGATCAATCAAATATTGAAACTATTATTAATAATAATATCGATGATTATCTATTAGATGATATTATGTTACTTATCTGGTGTGAACGAACAACATTTCATAATAGTGAACCAAATGATAATGATGATAAAAATCCAATCTCATTATTTTTTCGACATTGGATATTATTATATTTGAAAAAATCCGATGAATTGCTTTCATCATATTTTAATTTTATTCCAAAATATGGTAGTTGGGGAGATTTAAAAACTTTATATTTATCTGTTTGTCAAATGGATAATGAATTTATTGATAAGAAAATTTTATTGAATAATTTGAAAGAAGAATGTGTAAAAATGTTTGGTGAACAATTAAAACATGATTCTCGTATTATTTTAAATCAACCAGATGAATTAGCAAATGAACAAGAAGAACAAATGAATCTTAAAAATCAAGAATGGATTAGTAATTGTGCAAAAGAAGCTCCACGACTTGCTAGTAATCGTAATAATTTAAGCACAAGTAAGTTTTTTTTCTCATTAATCTTATAAATATTTTTTCAAAATTTTTCTATTTTTAGTTATGGCAAAAGCAATTGCAAAATATATGCGACCAATTATTGATATTAATAATAAAACTGAAAAAGGTTATGTATATCAAATGTATCGACGATTAATATCAGATATTTGTCATGTATTGAAAAAAGCATCACCAACTTATGTTGATGAACAAGTTAGATTACGAACACGACGAGATCGGGCATTTCAATATACAAAAGAACAACGAGAACAATTATTAAATGCTCCACCTTCAGCCTACATAACAAATCCTGAACCCGAACCAGGTAAATTTATTTTATTTCATTTATTCATCATTTAACATCTTTTCTATTTCTAAGTTGTTCCATGTTCCTTACAAGACTTACAACCATTATTAGAACATTTAATATTGAATAAACCTGGTCCTGATAATGATAATCAATCGATTGTCTTCTCACGTGGTACAATTATGACAGGTGGACGATTAGATTTATGTAAACAAGTTGTAGGTCCACAAGGTATACAACCATTACTCGATGCAATGAAAAATAGTTCAGTAGTTAATCGATTATTATTAGGTTAGTTCGTTGAAAAAAAATATTTTTACAACGAATTTGTATATGATTTTTGTTTTTTTTTCTAGGAAATAATATTGTTGGTTTACCTGGTGCTCAAGCTATTTCTCAATATATTCGTTTTAATATCGATTCAAATATTGATACATGGTATATAGCTGGTAATAATTTCGACGGTGAATGTATGTCATTAATATGTGAAGCATTAGCAACCGATACAAAAGTTAAAGCACTTTGGTTAAAACGAAATCCAATATTACCTAATGGAGTTATTCATATTGCTCAAATGTTAACAACAAATCATTATTTACAAACATTAGATTTATTAAATACTGGGTTATTAGATGAGGGTTGTGAAATATTATTTAATAGTTTGAAATTAAATCAAACATTAAAACATTTGTATTTGGATACAAATGGTCTTACGATTAAAAGTGGACGAATTATACGTTTATATTTTGAACAAAATGAGAATCATTTAGAATCATTATATTTATCATGTAATGCATTAGGTGATGCAGGTACATGTGAAATAGCAGCTGGATTAAAACATGATAAACATCTTAAACGACTTGGTTTAGCATCGAATTGTATTGGTGTTGATGGTGCACGAGCTTTAGTTGATGTTCTTATTGATCATTCATCACTTGAACAATTAAATCTTGGTTATATGAAAGCAACAATTTTACTTGGTGGTTTAGATAATGTTATTGGAGATGAAGGTGCAATTGAAATTAGTCGATTGATTCGTTCTAATCAACATATTCGTTCAATTGATTTAACATTTAATGGTATTTCACAAAAAGGATTAATACAATTAAAAGATGCTTTAAAACAAAATCAAACTTTGACAACATTAAAAATCTTACAATTTGGACAAGTACTTAATGAATTAACTAAAGAAGAAATTAATACAAAAACTGAACAAAATAAAATTGAATGGGGTAAACAAATACTTAACAATGATCCTAATTATACTAATACACCACCAACAAAATCTGAATGTTTGAAAAAAGGTCAAGAATTAAATGATGAAATCAATTTTCCTGAACATGTCATGGAAATAATTAGTTATTATCGAACACATTAAAAACATTAGAATTCAAATCTACTTCATTTATATTCAATAAAAGTTTTTCCACATATATAAAATAAATCTTGAGAGTGTCCATTACTGATCTAAATTCGCACTCTAGTAAAATCGACCGGATATATTTAGATATATAGAAAGAATTGGATATGTTTTTGATAAAACCTCAAATGAGTGCCTCAATCTGAACACTAAAGAAATGCTTTGATCCTATCAAAGATCTCATCAGATGGCATAATACATCTGCATAAAAAGATTAATGATTGAGGTTTTCAGTGTGGATGGAGATGTTTTTTTATTCATATTCACACCCATTCGTAATACAATAGAACAAGAAATATTGAACATGATTTTTTATCAAAAAACAAAGATAGAAAAAGGACTATCCTCGAGTGACATCTCGTAAAGAAAATGGTGTTCAACATCGATTTTTTCTAATTTATTTGTTCATGTTCATTCGATTGTTAGCTATTTTAAATCCATTTGCATAATAATAGCTAAATACTATTTACCCCATACTGATTTTAATTGCAAGGAAAGTATGTCATGTTCTTTTCTTGAAACTATTTATGATTGCGTCGACACTAAACACGCACTTGTTTGCTCGTTCTCTCCTTCTTTTTATGTTGTCCTTGAATGGTTCTGCTGTTATATGAATTATTCACCAACGTTGAGGTTTCTCCAAGGTAACTATAAGTAAAATGTGAATGTGTACATTGTAGTTTGCTCTACATATTGAATCAGTTAGACAGTTTTGAGGTAATATATTATTATTTATATAAATATGGAACCTTCGTATCATATGGATGTTTTACGTGGACGATACCAAAAACTTCCTGAAGTTCGATCAAAAGTCGTTCGTGTTTTTATTAGTTCGACTTTTTCTGGTAATTAATTCCATCGTGAATTAGTTGTTGTGACTTGAGAAATATATTCTCTCAATATAGATACACTCAGTGAACGAGACTCATTGATTGATACTGTTTTTCCTAAATTAAAAGATTATTGTCGTGAAAAATATGGTTTGGAATTTCAAGTTAGTAGAAATTAAGTTTAATTTATTTTTTAATATTGGATTATTAATTACAGTACTCAGATATGCGATGGGGTATTCAAACTGAATCAGCTGATAATCATAGTGAAGTTGAAACTTGTCTTAATGAAATACGATTATGTCAAAAATATTCGGTCGCTACTAATTTTGTGGTTGGTTTAATCTTGCATTGATTCGTTTCTTACTTTTTATATATTTTTATGAATTTTTAAATATTTCGATAGGTTTTATTAAGTCATCGTTACGGTTCACGGCCAACAGCGGCTACTATTTCAGCAACACTCTTTGAACAATTGTATCAAATTGTTAGTTCGAATGTAAATCTTCAAAAAGATGCTCAATTACTTACTCAATGGTATCAAAAAGATACCAATTGTGTACCACCTGCTTATATACTTCGTCCTATCTCATCGATATTACCAAATATCAAATCTAAGGTATAAAAGAATTTCATACTAGAATCAAAGTTAACAATAATTTTCATTCTTGTGATAAGATAATTTGAATAACTATGTAGAGTAATAAATATTAAATATTCTTGTACTTTAAAACTGAATGTATCCTTTCATATTGAACCACACATTTGTTTTAGGATTCTGATGAGATGAAACAAGCGTCTAAAGAATGGACAATAATTAATAATCATATTCGAACATGTCTGAGACAAGCGGCAACTACATGTTTCGAACAAGGTCAAATTAGTAAAAGTGATTATGATGATTTTTTCATATCAGGTAATTTTTATTATTTGTTTGTATGTTCAATATTTCTTTGAATATCAACAATCATAGTCACAGAAAAAGAAATTATCAGCGGTATTTTATCAGCATCTGATGTTAATCAACGAACATTGTGTTTCTTACGTGAAATCGATGATATTCAAAATCATTTATCGGATAATAAAGCATCAAAATTTATAGATTTAAATTATTCAGATGATGACAAACCTATTATTGATCAAGAAGCTGAACAATTACTCAATCATCTGAAAAATACACGTATTCCAAATGTATTACAGAAGAACAATATATTTTCATATAAAGTACATTGGGCGCCCGATGGTATTAATCGTCGTGATCATGCTGAATATATTGATCGATTTAATGATGATTTCTACAATGCAATTAAACAACAAATCGATAGTTGTGTGAAATCGCGTGTTACAATCGTTTCTAATCCATTACAACATGAAGTATTAGAACATGCTATACAATGTAAAACATACGTGGCTAAATTTCATGGTCGAACCGATGTTCTAGATAAAGTAAAGATTCTTTTCTTGAAAAACTAGTTCGATTTTTTTCTTAATCGTTATTAGCTTGAAAAATATATTAACAATGATAAAAAAAATCGGCCATGTATTGTTTATGGAGCATCAGGCTGTGGAAAAACAAGTGTTCTTGCTAAAGCTGCAACTAAAGTATGTATTTAGTAATGGTCTATAACTAAATACGAATTTTTTGTTTTTTCTTATGAAAATTTCAGGCATTGGAATGGTGGTCTGATCGGTCTGTATCAGTCATTTTGCGGTTCCTTGGGTAAGTTTTACAAAAACACAAAATTCTCAATTAATAACATCATGGAGCAATGCACTTCTTCAATGTGTAGAATCCCGATATTTAATCATTTCGATTCGTTTTTATTTTTAAGAGTAAAATTCAATGAATATTCTTGTAAATGATCCTAGAAAAACTGTTGTAACATTCACCTATTTAGCCCATTTTCTATTAAAGTATTCAAAATCTTTGTGGACATTTTGAGAAGCGTCATATTCACGTAAATTCAAGAGATTCTTGACACACACGATACCAACATGTCTATGATTATTATCGGATTGCAATCGATAGTCTTCTGTTAAAGTTTCGATAATATTTTTAAGTTTTCAAAAATTCAATTTCAAAATTTTTCATTTGTTTATTTTCATAAGAATTTTGATAGATTCCTATAGAAACCGCATAGTGGTCAACGAGGTACGTGATAGATACCTATGCACCAAAAACTTATTTAGTATAAAAATTGCTTGCCTCTCACATCTCTGTGATTTAGCCAAATAACCGTCACACCGATTGGCACAGACGGATACGCTTTCCCACCTATCATAACATCATCGATCTATTTAATTTATTGTTTTTTTTTGTTTAAAGAACAACTCCATCTTCATCAACGGTTTACAAAACTATTCTATCGATATCAGAACATATTTGTAAATTATACAATTTATCAATGCAAATCTATCCAGATGTACAACAACTACGTCATCAATTACAAAGTGATCTCCTAACACGTATACCTAGTGAAGAATATCTCATTATTTTACTTGATTCAATTGATCAATTAGAAGTAGATGCATATGATTGTCAATGGTTACCTGAATTATTTCCTGCCAATGTTAAATGTATTGTATCAACATTACCTGATCATGGTAATATTTTATCCAATCTAAAAAGAATTATTAATTACAATCCATCTTTACCAAATGATACAGAACATATCTTAGTATCTGTACCACCTTTTGAAGTATCAACAGTTGATATAGTATATACTGATTGGCTCGCCATGAAACAACATTCATTGAACGATGAACAACGTACATTTATTCGTGAATTAATGGGAGAACAAACTGAAATTCTACCTTTATATATGAAACTTATATTTGATATCATTTCTAGTTGGCATTCTTATGATCCTATTGATACTGAATTAAAAAATCTTAAGACTGTTGATCATTGTATTCGTTATCTTTTTGATCATTTAAAAACAGTACATAATAGTATATTATTCCATCGTGCAATATGTTATATGACAGCATGTCGAAACGGTATTAGTCAAAATGAACTTGAAGATGTACTTTCTCTTGATGATGATGTTCTTAAAAGTGTATTCGAACATTATATACCACCTATTAGACGTTTACCTGGTATTCTATGGACGAGAATTCGAAATGATTTAGATGAATATATTACAGAAAAAGAAGTTGATAATTCATCGGTCATCTATTGGTATGAATTATTTGTTTCCAATTGTTTAAACTTTATTTTTGTATCTGTAGGTATCATCGTCGATTCATTGAAGTAGCAAATGCTCAATATATTGCCAAAATGAATAGTGACGAACGAACTATTGTTTTTCAAAACATGGTTGATTTATACAAAGAAACATGGAAAGGAAAAAATAAACCATTTAAAATAGACGATCCAAAATTGGTGAATAAATATAATTTGAATGAATCAAATGGTGAAATTCAAGCAAATAGATTTATAACTTCACAACCAATTGAATTTATTGATGATAATGGTTGTGTTCAATTTAATAAAAGAAAATTAAATGAGTTACCACAATTTTTAAGTCAATTGACAAGCAATTTAGCGATTCCTATTGCTGCTGAAGAAATCTTTTTCAATTATTCTTTTATGCGTAAAATATTCATTCGAATAACAAAAAAATTGAATTCTTAGATTCTATTTCTTTTAGGTGCTAAAGTTGCATGTTCAACTTTCAATGACATTATGGAAGATTTTCAAAAATTTAAAAGTTCATCTTCATATCGTCTTTCACCAGAAGTAATAGAAACAAAAAAAGAATTAGATATTTTCATATCTCTATATTTGATTATTGGTGTTCAAGTTCAAGAACATCCAGATAATTATTCTTTTGAAGTTTGTTCACGTCTTTTAAGTTTATTTAGTATTAAACCACATATTACTAATTTAATCAAACAAATTGATGAACAAAGTATTCGTTATTGTTCTTTAATTGTACCTTATTGTCAACTTCAACCACCGGGTAGTGGTTTAATCTATTCTATGAATTTACATACGGCATCTATTGTTGAAATGGATTTTACTGATGATCAAATGATACTTATTTCTCTTTCGGATAGAATTATTGTTACTGATATGCAAGCAACAAAAGTCGTTTTAGATATTAATCTACCGACATTGGATGAACCTTATTTAAATTCAACAACATTCTCAGAAGGATTTATTTCTGATGGAAACAATGGAATTACAAATAATGTCACGTCTGGTAATAAAAATGATGATTTTCAACAATATCACTTTCTTGTTAATTCTTTACATCATATTTATTTTCTATCTGCTCATGAGAATATCAAGTTTGAACGATCGTCTAAAGTTGGCTATTTGACTGTTGAAATTCTTCATAAGAGACATGCACTTTGTATCATAGCAGAACGAAAAGGTAATTCTGTCGAATGTTGGAATCTTGTTAAAAATCAATTGTATGATCGAATTGATTTTCCAAAATCAATAGTTAAAAATGTTCTTTGTGTTCCGATGAAAGGAATGATTGTAACTATTCTTCAAGATGGAACTATACATATACATTCAATTATTGATTGGATGAAATCTTCGTTCATTCATCGAGGTTCAATCAATGGTGGATCTCATCTTGATCTTGTCGTTGTTGATGGAGCAATGTTAATTACTACATTTGATGCATCCGTTCCTATTGATTTCGCTGTAATTGGATTAGAACAATTTCAAGATAGTGAACAAACATTATCTGACAATCAAGTACTTAAAACACTGGTTACTTTTGATCCTCCGATAGCACCAAAACCAATAAAAAGTATTATATTACCAGATAAAGAAGCCACGAGTAAAGCTACTAAGCATGCAAATTTTCCGCTCTTTATGTGTAAGACAACTAACTATCTATATGTGGTTCATAAATGCAATGAAAAGGACGTATCCTATGTACGTATTAATGGTCTATTCGATATTGTATCAACACATGCAAAAAATCCTCATACTATATATACAGCTCGTGGAGGAATTATTGAACTTTATAAATGGAAATGTCATAAGAATGAAGATAATGATGGAAAGAAAAATACACATACATGTCAATTATATGTTTCGATAGATATCAGTGCTTCAACAGTAACTTCAATTAAAGCTTCGTCAGAACATGGTAAATACTTTTTGTTCGTGATAAAAAAAAATATTTCTCACCTTAAAAATCAATCATGCAGAAGTTATTTCTAATGTTTGAAATTATTCTACATGAGAAAATTAGAAATAACTTTAGTGAATTTTGTTACTTGCTAATCGATTACAAAAATATGGATTTGATTTTATTATGTCTTTTTTAGCGAATCTATTTTTATGTTCAATGGAAAATGGAGCTATTCATGCCTATTTTGCATCACATGCACGTAAAGCATACAAAAGTATGCCATTTTTTCCACGTACAAACCAAGTCATACGAACTGTCCAATTACTTGAAAAGACTGCCGTGACTTTGGATGATTCAAAACGGTAATTACACTGTTTATTTATATATCAATTTCAGTTTAGTTAGATAAAAAGATGATTATCTATCTTTCTCTCTCGTTTTAGTGAACTGACAACATGGTCATATCAACATTCGGCATCAATTGAATCTACTCGTCTATTTCTGAATGACATAACTGTTAACGAGTTTGTAATTGCATCGGGTATTTTACATTCAAAGGATATATATGTATTGATATTTACAAATAATTATTCGATTGAAGTTTATTCGGCTACATCACTTAATCGTACGCCTCTTTTCAGTCTTCATCTTCGATCGCCAGCAAGAATACATTCAACATCTAATGGAATCTTTTACGCTGTAACATGCAAAGGTATCGTCTATACTATTGTACAGCAAATAACTGCGAAGAAAGAAATTGAATTCCATCAGAAAAGTGATATACAATTGAATATTCAATGTTCAATGATGTTTAGTTCGATTTTAACACTCGATGGATTAGAAAATTTGATTGTTTTTGCTGATAATGGACAATCAATGGCAATCTGTAATATAGAAAAAATCATCTATATTGATATAAATGTATCACCTTATGTTTCATCATCACAATTAAAATCTATCACTAGTGATCGAACAGGAAATGATCTATTACTATATTTCAATAATAAATCTCTTATTTTAAATCGAGTAAATCTAAATAAATCAAATGATAAAGATTCTATTCATTTGACTCCATTTAATCAAGTCGATAAATTCTGTTTGAAAAAACATTGTCTTGCTGTATACAACAAAGAACAAAATCAACTTAATTTACACAATATTCATTCAAGTACACCTTATCAATCGATTCAACTTGATAATGAATGTCAATATTTATGTTTGAATGAATCTGGAACTTACGCTTTTGTATTAATCAAACCTCGTATGTTATTCATGTATCGAATTGATGATGGTCGACGATTGGCCAAATTATATGCTTATGATTTCGTCTCGTATATGATTGCTGATAATGATTTTCTTGTCTTAGCTATGAATGATCGACGTTTACTTACATTAATGATTGCTGATCCAGATGATTCAACAGTGCAAGCAAAAATACAAGCATTACCAAGCAGGTAAGAATAGATCAATTTTTACTACTATCAGAAATCTTTTGTTTGATCCACAATAATCTATTTAAGTGCAATTTTCAATGAATGTGTCTAAACTCTATCGGTAAAACATAACCTGATCAGTATGACTTTCTAAAATTCTCGTTCTTTCCGTTTGGTTTTATTTCTTTTGGGAATATTCGAAGGGTGTGGGTGTGGGTGTGCTAAACTTTGAAGAACATTTGTGATCACAAATATCTTGTGAAACTTCAAAGTAAACATTTTTCAGTCCATGAAATTAGTTACTGAATTATTTTGAATGAATTGAACAATTGATTTTCTTTATTATAGAACTATTCAACGCTTGAATGAATCTGCGACGATAAAACTTATTGAACACATGGAAAAGAGTACTAATATGAGTTTAAGTGATGAAGGAGAATCTGACTCGGAAGAAAAAGAGGATACACACAATCATCATTCAATAAACAAAAATGTTTCTAATACTAGTACACAAACAATGGTACAACCTGCTAGTCTCTTTCGCTGTGTTACTCGATTGAATGGTCGACATTCATTATCGAAGATGAGTGGTGACAAAGAAATACGATCGAAAGTTATGAATACATGGACGAATAGATCAGCTACGATTAATATTGCAGAAATGGTAGATGATTCCGATAATGAAAATCATGATGATGATAACGATGTTGAATCACCTGGTTCGATTATTAAAAATGAACAAGAACAACATGTTAACACTGATTTGAGTGATATTCATCAAAGGGTATTAGAGTACGATCAACAACAACTTAAAGGAATTCAATTTGCAAATGCAGGTGATGGAAATTTAAGAGTTGTGAATAGTTATGCCGTCAATTCAAATACATGTATTATCATCTAATCGTTTACACTTTTTTGTCTTTGCAATTCTTGAATAATTGATATTAGGAAATAAAGTCAATATTGATTTTCTTACAGGAATATGGTGTGGGTGTTTTATGTTTCTTGAGAATATAATATAAAACTCTACTAATATACGAAATCAGTATATTCAAAAAGTATTATAGAACGATAGATGTCATAAGCCAACAAGCGTATTTAATTAAAAAAATCTATCCACAATATATGATTACTTCCTTAATCGATACAATTACTTTTTTTTTATAATTGAGAAAGCTACAAGGATACAGATCTCCGAATGAATTACATCTGTGAATGGATATGACGATCTCTCGACTAATCACTACTACACTGATACTGTTGGAATTAAATTTTCAACTTTACTTCCATAATTTTGTCATTGTGAAAAAAACCATTGAAATTTCCAAGGTGACTGAGAAGTTTCCATGTTTTGTCACAAGATTCATTTCTTACTGATATTTCTACCGATAACAGATGAGTAGATGATTCATCTGTTATATGATACTTGACAATGCGTCATGCAGATGATGAAATCATACAGCCATACGTAACAACAGGGAAAAAAATACCAACGTATAAAATTCCCTGTATATAATTCGTCATGCATTTTATAATCATTTTCGTTCGAATAAGTAATCATCACTATTCGAATACATTCAAAACTGACTGGTGCAATTACGATGGAGGAAGTTGCTCGATCTTCTCCAGCTACTACATCTAGAGCTGCTTCATCTGTATATGGTACACCATCGGAAACTGTACCGGCAGATACGCCTACTCTACATGGATCTAGTACATCCTCGACTACCACATCTGGATCATCTACATTTGCTACACCTCCGATTGATATATCTAGAACTGCGTCATCTAGATCGTTTGGGTATGGTACACCATCGGAAACTATACCAGTAGATACACCGACTCTATCTAGATCTAGTACATCCTCGACTGCCACATTTGGATCATCTACATTTGCTACAGCTCCAATTGCTACATCAAGACCTACTTCATCTGGATCGTTTAGATACGGTACACCATCGGAAACTATACCAGTAGATACACCGACTCTCTTTGAATTTGACACATCCTCGACTACTGCATTCGATACTGCTCCATTTGCATTTGCTACCTCTACAGAATCTTGCGGTGCAAATCGTGCAGCACTAGCCACTGAGGTAGAGGCGAATATAAACTATGATGTAACTGAGAATGTAGCTATAAATGAAAGATCAAGCTGAACATATCTATCAAAAATGACAACATCGTAAAAAATAAACATGATAATGCCTTGTTGTATTGTCGGTTAATAGGAAAGAAGTTCGATTATTGCAAAAAGAGATTTTTTTTGAATAAAAGATAAAAATGAAAATTATTTCTAATTATTACTTCATGCTTTTGATCTTAAGGGTGTGGATATGGATATTTTATATTTCTAGAGTATATAATAAAACTCTACTAATATACGAAATCAGTATATTCAAAAAATAGTATAGAACGGTAGATGTCATAAGTTAACATGCGTATTTAATTTAAAAAATCTATCTACAAGATATAACTAATAAGTTGACAAAAAATATTTGAATTCCTTAATCGATACAATTACTTTCTTTCACTGTGAAAGAAAATATTCAAATTTTAAAGATGACTGAAGAGTTTCCATGTTTTGTCACAAGATTTATTTCTTACTGATATATGATGAGTAGATGACTCATTTGTTATTAACACTTGGTAATGCGTCATGCAGATGATGAAGTTGCACAACTACACGTAAGAATAGAGAATAAAAACCAGCGTATAAAATTACCTGCATACAATTCGTCATGCGTTTTATAATCATTTTCGTTCAAATAAGAAATTATCACTACTCGAATATATTCAAAGATGGCTAATGCAATTAACATGGAGAAAGTTACTCGACCTGAATTAGCTAAACACGAATCATCGATTTTGGGTAAGTAAATGTTTAATATATGTTATAATAATTATTTCAATGATTGCTTTTTGTATATAGATCTTGTTTTTGTTATGGATTGTACTGGATCAATGGGATCGTATATTGCTAGTGCTACAGATAATATACGTTCAATTGTAGAAGAAATAGTTGTCAGCGAAAAAAGTGACATTCGTTTGGCACTCATCGAATATCGTGATCATCCACCTCAAGTAAGTATTAAATTTCGAAGAACAATATTTATCGTAAACATATTGTTTTCTAATAGGATCATACGTTTGTTACACGTGTGCATGATTTTACTGCTAAAGTTAATGAGATGAAAGGTTGGTTACAACAATGTCAAGCAAATGGAGGTGGCGATGGACCAGAAGCTGTGGCTGATGGGCTTCATGATGTTCTTAAACTATCATGGCGTGATGAATCAACAAAAATTTGTATTTTGATTGCCGATGCTCCACCTCATGGACTCGATCCTAATGGCGATGGTTTTCCTAATGGATGTCCTTGTTCTCTTGATCCTGTGCAAACTGTTCGACAAATGGCAGAAAAACACATTACCCTTTACTCTGTAGGTGTTGAACCTTCTATCAGTAAGTATCTAATTCAAGAAATATTTGCTGTTCTTAGTAATTAATCTTTTTTTGTAGCACTATATCGTGAGTTTTTTATGTCACTGGCTTATACTACTGGTGGTCAGTATGTTCCAATGATCAATGCCAAACTTTTAGCTAAAGTGATCATTGGTGGTGTGCGTGAAGAAATTTCCTTAGATCGATTAATGCAAGTCGCTGAAGAGGATATTAATCGTGAAATGGAACGAGCAGAAGCAGAAGGTGTTGATGATAAAGAGAAAGTCAAGCGAATCAACAATATTTTTGCAACGAAAAATCTTTTTTCGACACAAATGACAAATAACTTTGGAATGACGTCAACTGCTGCCAAGGCATATTCTTCAACTTGTCAAACTATGGGTGAAATGCAGAGTGCATTTGGATTTGCTATGCCGTCGAAAATTGTACCGGCAGCTACGTCGACTCTATTTGGATCTAGTACATCCTCAACTACCGCTCCATTTGGATCATTTGCATCTGGTGCAC